TCGGGCAAACTTATTTTGACCCGTAATGGTGTGTTTGTTGGAAAAGGATATTCCGCTGAAGGAATGATCAAACTATGTATTACTGATAACATGATTAATGAAATTTCTAATTCTGCTTACATGCTTGATTCAGTTACTTTATGGCACAATAGACTAGCACATATTGGTATTAGTTCAATGAAGAGACTAATTAAACTTGGCTTGATATCATGTAATATCAAAGATTTCAATAAATGTGAATTATGTGTTAAATCAAAAATGATTAAGAAACCTTTCAAAAGTGTTGAAAGAAATACAAATCTGCTTGATCTTGTGCATTCAGATTTGTGCGAATTTAATGGCATGTTGACCCGTGGGGGAAATAGATATTTCATTACATTTATTGATGATTGTTCTAGATACAGTTATGTATATCTCTTAAAGCATAAAGATGAGGCTTTTAATGTCTTTAAGAGTTACAAAGCAGAAGTGGAAAATCAATTAAGTAGAAGTATAAAAGTCCTTAGGAGTGATAGGGGCGGTGAATACTTTCCTACTGAATTTGATACATTTTGTGAAGAACATGGTATAATACATGAATGTTCGGCACCTAGAACACCACAACAAAATGGCATAGCAGAAAGAAAGAATCGAACATATCAAGAAATGATGAATGCCATGTTATTGCATTCCGAACTACCTTTCAATTTGTGGGGCGAAGCTTTATTATCCGCTTGTCACATAATAAATAGAATTCCCTTAAAGAAAAGTGGAATTTCTCCATATGAGGTATGGAAGGGCATGACACCAAATATTGGCTATTTTAAGGTGTGGGGGTGTGTGGCATATTACAAAAACATGGATCCTAAGAGAACCAAGTTGGGTCCTCGAGGGATAAGATGTGCATTTGTAGGATATGCACAAAATAGCAAAGCATATAGACTTTTAAATTTAGAGTCTAATATTATTGTTGAATCCCGGGATGTAGAATTCTTTGAAAACCTTATAACTAAGGATAAAGAATCAGAGTCGGCCATAAATAAAGAATCTTGTGAAAAAGACTCTTCTCGGATTGTAGAAATACAACCTGAAGGCACATCTCGAATAAATGAACCACGACCCGAACCTAGGATAAGCAAAAGAGTCCGGAAAATAAAGAACCTAGGACCAGACGAAATTGATTCTCAATCCATTTCATTTTATCTGGTTGAAGGAAATAGTACAAATTTTATTAAAAGCATTCCGGTAATTCTTCAAGTAGGGGAAGATCCTAAAACTTATAAGGAAGCAATAGCTTCAAGAGACTCCTCTTTTTGGAAAGATGTTATCCGAGATGAAATGGATTCAATTATGTCCAACCACACTTGGGAACTTGTTGATTTACCAAAGGGATCAAGACCCATTGGATGCAAGTGGGTGTTTAAAAAGAAATATCATAGTGATGGTACATTAAACACTTATAAAGCAAGATTAGTGGCAAAAGGATTTAGACAAAAGGAAGGTATAGATTATTTTGACACTTATGCACCTGTAGCGAGAACAACCACTATAAGGTTGTTATTTGCTTTAGCATCTTTAAATGATCTGATTGTTCATCAAATGGATGTTAAAACAGCATTCCTAAACGGAGACCTCGATGAGGAAATCTACATGGAACAACCAGAAGGACACGTCCTTCCTGGAAATGAACAGAAGGTATGCAAACTTGTCAAATCTCTATATGGCTTAAAACAAGCACCAAAACAATGGCATCAAAAGTTTGACTCTACGATAATGTCAAATGGATTTATCCCTAATTCTTGTGACAAGTGTTTATATACAAAAGTGTATAATAACACTGTAATATTTTTGTGTCTTTATGTTGATGACATGCTAATAATTAGCAATAGACTTAATGGAATTTTAGAAACAAAAAGGTTTCTAACTTCCACTTTCAAGATGAAAGATCTTGGACTTGTTGACACAATTTTAGGAATAAAAGTTAAGCAAAATAGTGGGGGTTATGAACTTAATCAAACACATTACATTGAGAAAATGCTTGATAAGTTCAAACACCTGAAATTCAAGGAAGTAACTACTCCATTTGATCATGTAATCAAACTTGAAAAGAATGATGGAAGAGCAGTGGCTCAATTAGAATATGCAAGTGCGATCGGATGTCTTATGTACTTAATGCAATGTACTAGACCCGATATATCATTTGCAGTTAGTAAAATGAGTAGATTTACTAGTAATCCAAGTAATGAACATTGGAAGGCAATCACGAGGATATTTGGTTATTTGTTGAAAACCAAAGATCTTGGCCTTCATTATGGTAGGTTTCCTGCTATATTAGAAGGATATACCGATGCTAGTTGGATCTCTAACGTGGGAGATCACAAATCTACAACTGGGTGGATATTTACACTAGCTGGAGGAGCAATTTCTTGGAAGAGCAAGAAACAAACATGCATTACTCTTTCGACCATGGAATCAGAATTCGTGGCCCTCGCTTCCGCTAGTCAAGAGGCAAAGTGGTTGAGGGATCTTCTTTTGGAAGTTCCATTGGCTAAAGACAATGTTTCAAAGGTAATGATACGCTGCGATAGTCAGGCCACTTTGGCAAGAGCATTTAGCGAAGTGTATAATGGAAAGTCCAGGCATATAGGACTTAGACATTCGTTCGTAAGAAAACTGATTAAGGATGGAATCATTTCACTTACGTATATACGAACAAGCTATAATTTGGCTGATCCGTTTACTAAGCCACTGGCCAGAGACTTAGTAAGAACAACCTCGAGAGGTATGGGGTTGAAACTCCTTGAGTAAGAGTTCCGACAATGGCGGCAACCCAATCTTAAGTTAACAGAACATTAACGTTAAGATTTTCAATGGGTAACAACAAGTCGTTGATTTGGATAATTGTCTAACATTTCATAATTATATTGACATTAGAAATGAGGGTTGAGTTTATTTTAAAATCTTAATGAAGTTCAATACCGAGGGTACGTATCTATTGGAAACAGATACTATATGAACTTCACCTATGTGAATTATGAGATGGTGCCATCTCAAAGTGAGAGTTGGAGTTTCTCTCATGAAAAAAATTCATGAAACAGGATAGCACATGGCCATAAATAAGTGCTAAGCGAGTTATGCAGAGGAAAAAATCTTTAAGGAGTGTGTGTAAGGTAACACCGGTCTATTCATATAGATTCATGGTTTAAAAGCATTGCTACCTAATATTCCGATTAAACCTTGTGTTATCCTTACTAAGGTTAAGTTTAAAATTGAAAGATACTTAACTGTATTAATACTTCTTATGTCCCATTTCTGGAATTATTATTTTGTCATTATTAGAACAAGTGGGGGATTGTTGGAAATAATAAATTATTTCCATAAAAGTTGTTCCAAAATGACAAAGTGGATGTTATAGTTAATTGACAATAAATGCTTAGTCCCACATTGGAAGAGGAGTAAAATTAAATAGCATTTATAAGGCACTTGGAACAATGTAATTTCCAAAAGAGCTAAAGAGGATAAAGTGCCACATAGTCATATGTGGTGGTGCCAAAACTTATGTCATTTGTCTCATACAAAACACCCCTCGCCGGTGTCGCCACCAGCGACACCGGCTCCGGATCCGGAACCGGATCCGGGGGCGTGGGCGTAGAGGCGCTAGTGGCGGCTTGTAGACGGCACTTGAGCACTTAGGCATGACGCATCGGAGCAATCGGGCTATTCGCGGCGTTAATGAGGCGAGGCGGCGCCGGTGGCGCTCCGGCCGAATCACTCCATGAATTGGTGCATATCATTTTATTTGAACCATTGCAAATGCTCATTAGAGAGTGTGTTTATGAAGAATTGCAAACTTCTGAAAAGACACATGCATGGCTATAAATATATGATTGATAATTCGAAATCATTACTCCAAAATTCTGAAATCCTCTTCCATATAATTCCAACGTTTTCCTTGCATTCGAAACTTCACCAGTCTTGTGCAGTTTCGAGAAAAAGGCTGACTTATCCTGGGTATTCAGGCCGTTCCAACTCTAAGACAATTTGAGAGTGTGCTTGAAATACTTTTAAGGAAAGTGATTTCGTTCACGATTCAGTCTGGATCCATTCGACATAGAAGGATTATCTAACACATGATTGATGGTGTGTTGTCTTCTTTTGTTTCTTAAGGTAAGTCGTGAGAATTGACATCATAAATTATTACAGTAAAGAATTTTATATTGCTGATTCTATCCCTCTCTGGTCCCAATCTGCAGGCACTGATGATGCAGCTGATTCAGCTGCTCCTTCAACATAACTATGATCCACCAATAATCATTTTCCTATACCATAACCAACTACCTGCATGATCTAGCTACCACAAAGAGAAAATCGACAGAGTCTCCAGATAGGCTACCACCCACACTCATAATGCAATTGGCAGGCCGGAGGCACTGTGTCGCTAAATTATTATGGATATTCATTATGTACGGTATGTACATTTAAGTTAATTAATTGATGTATCAAGTTAAGAAATTTGTAATGTTGGGTTGTGTTTTCTAAAAATGGAAAGATTTTGGTTTGAATTTGAATGTTAATAAAATATTAAAATTTAACTGTATGAAAAGGAGTGTTCCTATTTTGTGAAAATGGGACAATGCAAGTTTGGTGCAATCTTTGTTGTTACCATCTTTATATGATTCGATGCATTGAAAAAATTTCTCAATTATCTTTTGTTGTAATGTTTCCAAATCTTCAACCTGCCATGCTTTTCTTGTCAAAGCTGACTTGACTTTTTATGATGTAGTTTGTGTTGAACGAGAGAATCTCTTAACGTAATTGCTTTCCGGTGAAGACGGTGTTGATGACGACGATGGTGATGACGATGATAAATAGGTGAATGAAATGTTGAGGTTTGCATCTAATTTTGGACCATATTTGTTAACACTGCACTAATGATCTTCTGCAAAAGACCATAGCAATCTGCATATTTCGTAAAACATTCAACAACTCATTAGACTTAAAACCATATCATTCCATTTCCACTAATGAATTCCCTTAAGAAAAGTTTGTGTTTGTTGCAAAAGATTGTTGTTGAAAAATTCCTCAATCATTCCAAGATAAATTGCACGACAATGAAGAAGAGACACATTAGCTACATCAATTGGTATTTTACCATTGTTGTAACAAAACCTTGAAACTAGCTCTAACTCATCTGAGCCTCTAGGGAAATCATTGATCCTAATTCCCATCTCCTTCACATGACATCTTCTTTTTTGATGATTCAAGATTTTCTTCACCTTTCCATAGTATTTTGATCTGATCTTCTGCAAAATAAATGAACAAACTAGAATCATTTATTATGATTTAATGAAGAATCATTGAAAAGGAGTAATAATACATACCTCTTTCAAAAGAAATGCCTGCGGACCATTAGTTTTGATTTGGAAGTCACAAGGCTTTATCATAGCTACTTCTGCATTTGAATGAAAACATATTGTGTTTTCTAAGTGCTTTTAGATGAAGAGATATCTTATTATCATAGTCTATAGTCAGGTTATGTTAATATCACAACCTAGATAGGTGTTTTTTAATATGGGACCTACTCATGATTTGAAGTTGAATGGTTTCTCTTTTTTTTATTATATTATGTAATTGAATACATTTTTCTGTTGTGAGTTTACAGTGTTTAATTATGTTAAAATTTTGGCAATTTTATGACAGATTCATGGATGTGTCTAATATAAGACCGATTTTGAGATTATTGTAAACGTGGAGTCATAGGAGCTAAAGCTAATTATGTCTAAGATGTAGAAGGAAGAAAGCATGGATGTGTCAAACCTTGAATATCACAGTTCCTAATATGTGTTATGTTTATTTATTTATGTTTATGGGTATAAGAAATAGTCATAAGCATTATCATTTTAAATGTAGGTAATCATTTATTTCTATTTAATGAATATCATATATCCTTTATCACTTTATACATATTCTATTTTCTTATGAATACAAATATTGAGTTATCATTTGATAATCAATTATAAACCTATTCATTTAGATAAGTGTTGGGTTATGTCTATCATCTGATAATCAATTATAAACCTATTCATTTAGATAAGTGTTGGATTATGTCTACTCAACAATTTGAATTGATAATATATATTCATTTTTTCAATTTTTGTGTTCAATATTTTAAGCTATTGTTTTCCTTATGTCTTATTGCAACTTTTGTAATTTTTCAACTATTTACTACAATTTCTATAATTTTTCAATTATTTATGGTTACAGTGTAACCAATTACCATTTATTCTAAATTAAGTTTATATCATTATTGTTAATTTTATATTTAAATTTATTTTTTTTTATTTACAATTTCATTTATTTCTCTCTCTCTCTCTCACACACACACACACACACACACACACACACACACATATATATATATATATATATATATATATATATATATATATATATATATATATATATATATATATATATATATATATATATATATATATATATATATATATATATATATATATATATATATATATATATTATTTCAAAAAAAATTACCCGTGCGGAAGCACGGGTATCGTACTAGTAGTAATCAAAAACTTGATTTGGATTCCAACAAATTAGAAGATTAAAAGGATCCCAAATTTTGAAACTCTAAAAATCAATAATAATTTTAAACTTCAAATTGAATCAGATTTGGATAGCTTTTTTAAATCTGTTCATAACCTTATAATTTCTATCAATATAGAAATCAACAACAGAACTCTAAATCCTTAAACTCATACTAGAATTCAATTAGAGAATGAAGGTGAAATCATATCTAAATTTATCATTGAAATCGTTGAAGATTGCGGATATATAATCTTTCAATTTGTAGAGTTTCTTAGGGTTCCTTGAATCTCCTCTAATGGGGATGAAGAAAGAAAACTTGATAAATCATAATTTTGATCGTACTCTATAAATGGGACCCATAACCTATTTAGATAATCTTAGGATTATTTCTTAATTTTCAATATTCTAATTTGACCCTCATCAAACTAGATATTTACTTATGATATCTACACAACAACCTGATATTTCATGACATTTATGCTTTTAACCATAAACTTAATATTATATTAATTAGACCCCTTTAAGTCTTAACTAATTAAAATAATGACACTAACACCTTAAATCTTACATCTGTGACCCAAAACTCTAACACTAAAAATTACATAATAATACAATGCAATTTCTCAAGCCCGAGGTCATCCTTGACAATTGACAAGCTTATTAAACACATATTTGAAAACATTGAGATGCTAGCTAGCATTATTCCGAGTTACGTGAAGCACGTTCATACTGAATAGATCTTATCACCAATATTTGATTCAATTACACTAATCGTCCCACATTAATCCACTTACAATTCTCGAGACCGTTTCATTATGAATATCAGTTATCTGAATCTGAAGCGCATCTAAGTCTAATCACTTTATATATAGATATATCACACACATGTAAAATCATACAATCAATTCCTTCACGGGAGATGCTCTTTTCACCTTATGTGTTCTCCTACACCATCTTGAAATCTCACAAATGTCTCTAGCGTTCGGAGATGCATCTTCAAATGCGTCTTTTTTACACACTCTTCAGCATAAATTGGTAAACCACTCTTATTTTTGCAAAAGAAAAAAAAAGTAGTCTGAAAATGCTCTTTCATAAATTTGAAGTTTTCTCAATTAACTCGTATTCTTTATGCTAGAGATCATTTTCCTTCTCTTTATAGGTTGATTTGGAATTTCTGTAAATCCAAATCTCTAGATACAAATTATATTGTTTGTCCCGTGGTGATTATCTTTAATGTCTTCATTTTAATTTGCATCATTTGTAAATACATCTTTTTCCAATTTAGATAGTAAGTTAGAACTTACAAAAATTGAAGTTATTGGTTAATGGTTATAAACTCTTTAGTCAGTTCTTTTTATTGACATTCTTTGCATTATGCTATATTTTTCAATTGATAATTGTGAAAACAATAACAATAACTTTTGCAGGATGGTTTTGATCCTTCCAGCTTGGCAGCGTTTGTGTTAGAGTAAAGAGGCATTGATTGTTTGTTTCTTCATTTTAATTTGCATCATTTGTAAATACATCTTTTTCCAATTTAGACAGTAAGCTAGAACTTACAAAAATTGAAGTTATTGGTTAATGGCTATAAACTCTTTAGTCAGATCTTTTTATTGACATTCTTTGCATTATGCTATATTTTTCAATTGATAATTGTGAAAGCAATAACAATAACTTTTGCAGGATGGTTTTGTTCCTTCCAGCTTGGCAGTGTTTGTGATAGAGTAAAGAGGGATTGTTTGTTTCTATATGAACAGACAAAGCTGGTGTTGTGAAACAAAACATCTTTATGTGAATTTGTAATGATGGTGGTGAAGACCGAAGAGAAATATTAGTGTAGTTGTCGATCATCATTCTTGAGGTAATGAAGAGAAATTTTGTTAGAACATAGATTGGTTCTTAGTTATATCTCTATGTTTTGATGATAACACTAATGAAATTTTGTATTAAGAAATTATATACTCTAAATTTGTTCAAGTATTTTTGTTGCAGATATTAAATTTAATATTCCTCTGAAAGCAAAAATGATCTGAACATTGAACTACGTGTAGCTCTGAGCGTCAGAAGCATCTCGTTAGAAGACTCTGAGCACTGCCTATAGAAGACTCTGAAGCAGAAGCTACAAAAGCATCTGAAGCGTAGCTGAAGACTTTGTATGAAGAGTTTCAGGCATTGTTTTTCAGAAGACTCTGATAGTACTATTTGTTGCAAGTACTGAGGATCTGATCTCCAAACTCTGCTCTGACCATTACTCACGCTGAAGCACACTCTTCCTGCAACACTCTGATACAACAAACTCTGATAACATCAAGACTCTGATCACTCAAGGCTCTGATGTTAATTGCAGTGAAATAGAAACTTGTTGAAGAAGATTATTCAAAGTTATATCCGTTGGTTATGCCAAACGACTCTTTCCTCTTTTATGCTAGACACAAGAACACAGGCAAAAAGGATTTCTCTGAATGTTCTAATTCTGGGAAAGGTCAAGTCATATGAAGACAAAAGGTTACAACTACTTTGCAGTACACGGTCTTCAAGCTTGCAACGTCTTGGACTTCTAAGTCTATATAAGCAAGCCTTCAACAACTTTCTACAGTTGACGAAATTAACAAAACTATTGAAAACTCTCTCAAAGCTCTCATACAAATTATATTACATTGTTAAATAGTTTCATTCGTTCTTAAACTTAAGTAAAAATCACAGTTGTGATATAGATTTCATAGAAGCATTTAAACACTTGTTTTTAGTTTACATTTGAGTGTAAAAGTTCCTTAAGAAGACCAAGTTGTGGTCAGTAGTTCTTGAGAAGACTAAGACAGTTGTTCTTAGTGGTTGATATTGTAATCAGTTTGATTATAGTGGATTAAGTCCTTGTGGAGAAAGGCAAATCACTCTTGATAGGGTGGACTGGATTAGTTGAGTTCAACGAACAAGGATAAAAATATTTGTGTTTTTATTGCCATAATATTTTCTAAATCCTTATTCAACCCCCTTCTAAGTATTTTCTCACCTTTATTTGGCATCAGAGCTCTGGTTCTGTGTGTGCTATCACTTCACTGTGAACAAAAAAGATCCAGTTGAGAAAACTCTTGATATATATTCTTGGTTGATATTATGGCTGAAGCTTCAACATCCAACAGCAACAGATATGAAGAAAGGGATAGAATCAGCATAAAACCCCCTATGTTTGATGGGGAGAAGTTTGACTATTGGAAGGACAGAATAGAGAGTTTCTTCCTTGGTTATGATGCTGATCTATGGGACTTAGTCATTGATGGTTATGTTCACCCCACTGATGGGGATGGCAAGAAAATTGATAGAAAATCTATGACTGAATCCCAGAAGAAGGAGTTCAGAAATCATCACAAAGGAAGAACAATCTTATTAAATGTTATATCTCATACTAAGTATGAGAGATTACCAATAGAGAAACTGCATTTGATTTGTTTGAGTCTTTGAAGATGACTCATGAAAGGAACTAACAAGTTAAAGAGACCAAGGCTCTAGCGCTGATCCAGAAGTATGAAGCCTTTAAAATGGAAGAATCTGAATCTATAGAAGCTATGTTCTCTAGATTCCATATCCTCACAGCTGGATTAAAAGTGTTGGACAAAGGCTACTCCACTGCTGATCATGTAAAGAAGATCATCAGAAGCTTGCCAATCAGATGGAGACCTATGGTCACTACTCTGAAGCTAGCAAAGGATCTGAACAAGATCACATTGGAAGAACTGAACAGCTCTCTGAGGAGCCATTAGATTGAACTTGAAGAAGACGAGCGTCAAAAGAAAGGTAAGTCAATTGCTTTAAAATCTAACAAATATGTTAAAGCGTT